TGAGCTTAGGTAGCTTGGAGAGACTCCCTCAAAATGGTGAGGAAAAACAGGTCACCGCTAACCCTTTCTGTTCCTTTAAGCAGCTGTTTCCTGTTGGGAACCAGTTAGTGGCATTTCTACTAGTTTTAATTTTTTTTTTTTTTTAATCAGTTCTTCTCGCCTGGTGTGGGGCGGGGGAAGACCTGGACGATCTAGTAATGCGACAGGTTGTAACTGGCTAGAAAGGTGCATCTGACCATCGCAGTACCGCCAGGAGGGAACGGCGAACGAACAGCTGAAAGCTTCGTAATTCATGTCGTGGCTGCGGTCCATGTAGTGGATAGGGAAGTCGACTGTGATTTGTTTGGATTGCCGGTGCTTACATAACTATCGCTTAGCTTCGGGACACTAGTTCAAGCAAATTAGCTGACTTAACCCGTGGAGCAATGACCTCAAAAGGTGTTTCTCTTTAGCAGCGTGATAACCGACGTGGGAGGTGGGAATGTGAAATAACATCAGCCTGTGGAGCGCTCTGTCGTATCTGAGCCTTTCAGTGGCAAGGCCTTGTTATCGCCAGTCCCGGGGAAGTTTGATATTTGCGTGACTGTTAACTTTAGATGTGTAGTAAGGCCGTAATTCCATTAAGTGCTTTAAAGGGTGATGGCAGGATTTCAGGCTTTTATAGTACAGCCATGGTAAACTATAGTTCGGCTTCTGCTGCGTCTTTTGGACTGGTTAGTCATAAGGAATCTCATTCAGGACTTAGTGAATCACGCTGGGACTTTTTTTAGACGATTTGAGTTGGAGTCGGAGAGTTTTGCCGTTGCGGGGAACCCTGCAGGGCTGTGGGCATCTCAAGAGGTAAAAAAAATAGTGCTGTGCTGCCATCAGTTGTTAGACGTTTGGAATGAACAGAGAAACAATTTTTATGAATGTATTTATATATACATAGACGTGGCGTAATTATGTCTTATATACGTCAGAAGACAATACAATAGATATAAATGTGACTGCAATTTGTTTTCAAATCAGTACTGTAATTTAGGTAACTTCCTTCTAGAGGTAGAAACACTGCAGAATCATTTTCTCTGTGTGGGTGGTTTACCTACCTTAATGCTACTTTTCTTTTCTTTTCTTTTTTTTTTGAGAAGGAAATAGACATTTTATATTTATCATATTAGATGAAATTGAAATCTAAATATTTACATCTTTTTCCTGGATCTGAGGTTGAGAACCAATTGTAGGCGTTCCCAAGCTGTTTAGTTGTCTCCTTCACTGAGTAGGTTGATTTCCTTTGGGTGGTGGAGAGATGGTGCCTCATATTTCTTTTTATTATTCTCTCGTCAGTCTCTGCAGCTGGAAGCGCTTCCCTCTGTGGGCTGCTTGACCTGGCATTATATTCAGAGGGTGTTGTAGCCTAAACATGCCGCAAGCTGAGCGGCGTTATCTCCTGCAGAGCGCAGAGTTAGCTGCAAACTGTGAAAGCGGAGGGGGAGTCCGGGAGACGAGTATGTAAATAACTCGGGGATAACTTGTGAAAGAGAACAGAAGGGGAGGAAAAAAAAGGCCTCTTGTTCGCTTTTTCCCCATCGTCCTCGTCCCTTCTCTAGCGCTCTCCATGGCTGACGTTCAGTGCTCTCCACAAACAAAGGTGGAAGATCATTTCTGTTTTAAGCAAGGGTAAACCAGTAGCAAGCATATGAAATGTTGCAGGTCACAAGTCAGTAGAAGAGACAGTAGAAGAACTAGAGTTTTTTGCCCCCAATTTTCTTCTGTCTTTCTGTCCACACCCAGCCTCCTGGGCTGGGCTAGTGGGCGTGGTTAGTCTTGTAAGTGACCCTGTTTCCAGGTGGGCTGCTGTTTTTTGGGCATGTCTGGTACTGGTGCTTT